TGCATGCCATGGCCTGTTTATGACATTTTTGATGTAATCTGATGTATTGAAAATTTGTACTTATAAGGGCTATAAACATAAATTACAGGCTGTTCCATTTAAAAGAATGGGTAAGCCTGATGTATTATGCAGAGATAACGTATATACTGAAATCCTATTTCACACACTTGAAATTTTGTTGATTTATTTCTTTAAACACTAGCTTATCTATTATTTGGATGCTCTTCAATACTGTAAACCAATACAGGAAAGTTATAGTTTTCCAAGTGACACTTGACCCAACCTTTGACAAATCACATCACAGAAGAATAGAACGGAAAAGGAAGTTCCAATAGTTGGTTACATGACATTTCAAGCAGCAGCACTGACAGGAATTAAACACAGGAATTAAAGGTAATTATAATTTCTCACAAATCATCCTCTATAACAATTCAATTGGCATTTTTGGGTAGAAGCTGGGATCCATTATTTAGGATATTTTGACTATGCTGATTATGAATCTGGTGGCATTAGTCATACAGAGTTCATTTTGGCAAACTGTTTGGAAAACTCATGTTTCTATTCGCTATAATAGAAAAACTTTTCTTTTTTAAATTAAGTATACTTTTATGCACACAAGTATAAGAAATTTAAAAAAATTACTGTCAATTTAGCTCATTTGCCAGGAGTGAATAAATCAAAACATCATATGGCCTGTCAGGAAATATTTGGTCCGGGGCAAAAATCGGTCCGGCAGACTGATTTTGGCCTCATAATTACTTGCCAAATGTAGTCCACATAAGCCAAAATCAGTGCGCTGGAATTTACTTTGCTGCACAGCAATAGGTTTTGACGGAAAGAACAATTCCTAAGCTTTTACAGACGCGCATATGCTTTACTAGCCAATCACAATGATGTCCCCAGCTGAAGCCTTAATTTGCATACATCACCCTATATAAGAGTTTAAGATCGGCATGTACTTGTGTTGATAGTACAGCCTTTGCGGTTAGTGAACATTGGAATAAGGCCCTATAAAAAATATTATTAGTTTATCACCCTATCTGGGCAGGAAAAGTGATGAGGGAGGGAGGCTTTTTTTTAAATTTTTTTATTTTGCTAAAGCCAAATAGAAACCCTTGGTTTGTTTGCTGGTGCATTGATATTCAAAGTAAAACTTGATTTAGATAATGCAAACAATATCTACTAACTATTTAATAAAATAAATGAAAAAAAATAATAAATAAAAAAAAAAAAAACAATTTAAAAAAAATATTATTATTATTTTTTTTTTTCAGTACCATAAAAGGCATGCGCGCGAAGGTGATAAACTAATAATTTTTTATATTGGGCCTAACAGTAAGGAAAGACTTAGCAATGTACACGGACATACATTACCTCACATTGAGAGAAAATTTAATTTCATATTCATAACTCATACCGTCTCCACGCCTCATATATTTGGTAGAAAGAGAGAGTGGGTGAGTAAACGTCGTGAAAGGGTTTTTGAAATTTAACATGTAGATTCCTATGGCACTAGCCACAGCACAGTGGTTTCAAACCGCCAATCACAATCATAATGATGTCCATCGCTGAAGCTTGAATTTACAGACATCACCATATACTGTATAAGAGTTTAAGATCATGATGTACAGTACAGTATTTTATTTGGCTTTTGTTGATAGCAGAGGCTTCGAGGGTTTTTTCAGTGACAAGACCAACTACCATATCCCTTTCTAGATCCATACCTCATATATTTGGTAGAAAGAGAGGGTGGGTGAAAGTGTTTTTGAAAGTTAACATGTAGATTCCGCTACGCTGATTTCAAACCACCAATCACAATCGCTGATTTCAAACCACCAATCAAAATCACAGTGATGTCCATCGCTGAAGCCTGAATTTGCATACATTACCCTATATAAGAGTTTAAGGTCATGATGTACAGTACAGTATTAGGCTTTTGTTGATAGCAGAGGCTTCGAGGGTTTGTGCACGTGGAAGAATAAGGGAAAACCTAGCTATAGGCTCTAGACAGGGAACAGTGAATTTCACTGTTCCCTGGCTCTAGAGTACACAGATATATACTAGTTGTTAAAGATAGTTGTATAAATTGCTAATAACATTTTTATTTATTTATTTAATTTTAACATCTTCTATGAGGGTGGTCCAGTCCATCCAGCCGAAGCTGATCATAGGTACCATCAGTACACAGTACAACAAAGGAAAATATGAATGAATTAACAGTAATATACAGTCGGTAAATTTAAACTACAGTTATTAGCCCTAATGATACAATCAATAAACATATATATGTGGGGTGTATACAAAAATATGTATGAGAAAAAAAAGTTACATAAATCAAGGTAGCCGTTAACACTGTTAAATCATATATAAATCATCAAAAAAAGGTAAATACAGTGTTCGTATAAAGGACTTAATAAATAGATCGTGTAGCATAGCTCTCAACGAATGTAGTCCTGTAAATAAATGAATAAAGAAATTGTGTAATAAAATGCCTCTGGCTGGACTCAAACCTGCGACCTCTCGCTGTCAAGGCAAGTGTCATAACCACTAGACCACGGAGGCTTCATGGTTGAACAGATTCAAATACCACCAAATACACTCTATTACACAATAGGTACGGCTAGAAACAAATAGGTGCATATAACATAAATCAAGGTAGCCGTTAACACTGTTAAATCATATATAAATCATCAAAGAAAGGTAAATACAGTGTTCGAATAAAGGGCTTAATAAATACATCGTGTAGCATAGCTCTCAACGAATGTAGTCCTGTAAATAAATGAATAAAGAAATTGTGTAATAAAATGCCTCTGGCGGGACTCGAACCTGCGACCTCTCGCTGTCAAGGCGAGAGAGCATCATAACCATTAGACCACGGAGGCTTCATGGTTGAACAGATTCAAATACCACACCAGATACACTCTATTACACACAATAGGTACGGCTAGAAACAAATACGTGCATATAACATAAATCAAGGTAGCCGTTAACACTGTTAAATCATATATAAATCATCAAAGAAAGGTAAATACAGTGTTAGA